CCTTTATTGGGTAACTATAATCAAATTACTATTCAATAGTAACTCAACACTATATTTATAACCAAAAGAATGTAACTAAATTTTGGGGTTAGTGGTTAATTGCAATAAAACATAACTTTAAAACTGTCCAAATTACCTACTACTTATTAGGTGTTACATAGTGAATTGTAATACATTACCAGGTAAGTGCCGACAATTAATTACATAGCAAAATTGTGTCCTAATAACCACGCAATTACATGGTAATATGGTAGTAATTATAATTACGTTTTTATTACCTTGTAATTACATGGTAATATCGTAGTAATTCCATTTAATTACATTTTTATTACCTTGTAATTACATGGTAATAAGGGTACCATAAAAGAAAGCATTACCGAACATGTAAACTGCACAGTGGAAGAGCTCCTGCCAACAGTGAACCAGCAACCTTCTTGCTGTGAGGCTACAGATTATTATCTCTCACTGATACATCTTCAGGTGTAAAACAGGTGATGTGTACTAGTTGAGTAGTTCTTACAGGTCTTGTTGAAGAGAAAGATAAGTAATGGTTAAAAAATTGGTGACAGATACTGTTCCATTGATTTACATCAAGTTATGAGGTTGTGTTGTCCTTCACTGTAACAAAATATTGGTTTCACAATACCAGCTTTTATTTTGAAAACCAATAATATGCTACTAGGTATCCATTTATCTATTTTAAAGGCAGTACTGGAGAAAATATCCCCCTCTCCCCGTCACTGTTGGGGTCTGCCTAGCAACTGACACCATAAATATGTGTTTGTGTGTGAGTGTGTGTGTGTGTTGCCAGTACTTGTTTCTGCCACAGAGTGAGGACCATGTTTTTAACCAACAAAGTGAGGTCGTATTTGGGAAGTGAGGACATTAAGTCCACATGTTTTTTGCAGCTCTACTAGTTCAGTTTAGAGATAAGGTGTGAAGTTTTAATTAGGAATAGAGGAGTAATGGTTAGGTTTAGTGAAAATGTCTGGATTAGGCATAAAGGCAGTTACAAAAATGAATTGAAGTCAATACAAAGTCCTCAGTTTGATGGAAGTACAGGGATGTGTGTTGTTTGTTCAGTCATGTGATCGTAAACCTGCTGTCTGTCTACATGGCTGCAGTGAACAGGAGTGAACTTAAATGTCTCTGAGGTTTAAATCTCAGTCTCCTCCTGCAGGCTGAGCGGACAGGAAGTGACTCAGAGCGCCCATGGCGAGTAACAACACAGCCAGCATCGCTCAGGCCAGGAAGCTGGTGGAGCAGCTGAAGATGGAGGCCAACATTGACAGGATAAAGGTGAACAACTTGTGTTGTGCTCTCTCCCACACAGACTGTTGTAAAGTGGAACTTGAATGAGGGAAACATGAATATAGCTCTGTAAAAGGCCAGCACATTAGATTTGTGAGCAGCCTTTAAAGGTATCCACTTCCTTTCATGTCACGGTTTTGAACTAAAGTCATCTTCAATGACTTCCGGTTCACGTGAATAAAACATGCTTTCAGCTCTGCCACAATGTGATTTACACATCACATTTACACATTTAACGTGTTGGGCTACTTGTTTAAAAGGATCCACGATTAGTTGTAAGATTAGACTTTATTTGATAAACAAATATTTCAACTGTAAAATAAAGACTGTAAAAATACTGTAGGATGTTTGGTTTTTTATAAGTTTTAAAAATATATTTTAACACAGATGGAGAC